ACATGTTGGAGTTAATTGCAACCTTCCGTTCACCATCACTCAACAGCGTCGACAGCATTCTATCAAGTTAAGGAAAAAACTACTCCAATTTCAAGATGAGATTATTTCGTTGTAATTTGAAACTCCAGAACTGCTAAGAGAAGAAGGTTGAGAGATGCAGAATTTTTCACATACTACGTATGTACCTTGTCTACAACAGATGGCATTCCAATTTCCATTGACAAAAGCGATTTCCAGATGCTTGTCTTCAATCCGTAGGAAGAAATGTAAACCCCACAGATCCAGTAACAAGATTGATAACACTTATGAGAACTAACAAATATTACCAAACTAAAAAGTGTATATAGTTCACGGAAAGGGTAATAGCGTGTTCGGTCCCCGCTGTAGACACTAGTGGCCCGAAGTTTTGCAAATACTTCAGGAATATTGTGATTATGAAATAAACATTATTTGCCTTAGTGGAAGGTAAGTAAGTAAAAAATGTAGACAATTTCGCAAGAGTAGATAGTATTACGGTAGAGGATAAACGGCAACCAATTTGCATAGTCCCCTCGGGACATTATATCTCCACTGCAAACTATTTTCTACAGTTTTGAGACATATGCCAAAGAAAAAGTCTGGTTAGTGCAACAAAGGAGAAATATAGTCCGTACGCTTTATGACTATAATAAAATCGATCGACTTACTATGTGTCTTACAATACTGCGACATGTTTCGTTGATCGTCGTCGTAGTTGAACTCTATAAAATGTTAACTTTCACAAGATAGAACTGTTTATATTCTAATTCGTCCAGATTTCATCCACTTTTAACTTTTTTTTGTAAAATTAGTTAGCATGTCGTAGTGGTTTCATTCGTAGGAGTCTGTTTCCTTGCCCGGATGGTTTGTTTTTAGGCCACGAACTGCAACTCGTAGCAAGAGCGAGAACAGCGGGAGCTTACTGGTGTTCGCACTCAGTATTTGACAGAACTGTAGATGATTCATAAGCAACGGTGTTAAGAAAGTAATGCTAATAGGAATCCGATTTTTTCGGACCGCTTTCAAAGAAATCCTAGAACGAAGGACATAAATGTCTGGTGGAGGCATTGTTTACCAACCATATTCTTAGGGAATGAGAAAAATGAATGACAGCGTCAAGATGAAAGCAAACTTACAGTGATAATCAGAAGAAAATTGGACTGTCTTATACAAACACTTTTAGAAATAGCTTAAAAAATGAATCACGATGGTACAATTTTTACATTTCCTCTTCACTATCAAGGTAAGACATGAAGCGACACCATCTCGCCAGAGGCGGCCATAGTGCAGCTGATAATGAGAACTATGATGACTGATAATGATCACAATGCATATGCACTGGTGAAAAATTGCAATGAAACTTCCGCAAAGTTAAGAGCACTGTCACCTTCAATATCAGTGAACAACAGACAATGCTTAAACAACACACTGAACGAAAGCAGACGACAAAAGTGAGAATGAATCGAAAAAAGGATTCACTTAATGAAAGGCTCTATTAGGATTGGGAACGAACCTAGAAATTCAGATGGACAGCACTTTCGCCGAGAAAACCTCGGACTATTTGTACTATAGGATTTATTACGTTGTTATGGATTTGATGGCTGTCAACAGTAGAGGAAATTTCATGAATAAATTGTACGATCAAGTAATTCACAGTTAGTTAGTTGATTCAAAAGTTGTTCCAGGTCCTCGTAATTTGCCCAGACGTTGGCTGACAAGTCAATCACTTTAAATTTTCTCCAGCAGAATATAATCAGCATACACAAACTTTCGACAAGGATCCTTAAATCTGGAAGCAGAAAGAGACGTGCGTAAAAAACAAGATTCAAGAAGAGATGTATGAGAAGGATTCCACAGAATGATTGAAACCAAGGAGAATGGCAGGCTTGTAGTGCATTTTAATCAGATATAGGTTCTATCGAATCGAAATTTTGGAATAGGAAGTAGAACACAAGGGTGTCACCACTGACGTAACGAACCGCCACTATTCGGGACAACAGTCGAGAAAGAAGGTAGGTAGTGGAAAATGCATTACGGCGTATACGATTCATCATGGTTGTCGTGAAGTATCCAAAGTATTAGTATCACTACTACTGTTATTACCACTATTATTATTATTATTATTATTATTATTATTATTATTATTATTATTATTATTATTATTATTGATAGTGTCATTAATGCTATTGGTAGTCACGATCTTCACTCTTTTATTTACTGCCTTTCTCTTCTTAATGGCAGGGTATGTTTCGAATTATAACTCGTATGAAATGCTGAGATATTTGCAAAACTCCGGACCACAGGTGTATGCAGTGGGGAACGAAGTGCGCTGCTCCGCGGTAAGGACAACAGCGCGTGTTCGTTCCCCACTGCATACACCTGTGGTCCGGAGTTTTGCAAATATCTCAGCATTTCATACGAGCTATTGGTAGTTTTACACGAAATGTTATTGTGTTGATATCAAGCTACATCTCACCAACCCGGATCGCCAGGCATCTTCGATTCCTTAACGATCACTGGTGCTCGGTGGCTCGACTGTGGAAGGCTGTACAAAGCAATGCGGTATTCTCCAGAGAATTCGAATAAACTTTCGGAGGTGAAGTGAAAACGAGGCTGAAACATTCTAATAAGACCAACGTTTCAACGGTAAAAAGACTAATAAAAAGCTCTAAAAGAAGTTCAATGAATGAATTTAAGCTACAGAACGGATCCAATACTACGGTATCTACTACACAATTAATAAAATAGTTTCGTTCTAGACTAGAGTGTTAGAAGAAGCAGTCTGCTTTAGTCTAAGATGAGTAGGATATACCTAATTAACAGTGAACACTAGTTAATTAACACTAACACTGAAAACATACACCTGCAAACAAACAAATCAACAAGACAACAACAACAACAAAACACCATTCGTAAAACAGCAGACTGACCGATGATAAATCTTGTGTCCATCCGAAATCCGAGACGTTGAACACGAAGCACCGACTGCCGTCGCTGCCGTTGATCTGGAGCTTGAACGCCTTCAGGAAAACTGAATTACCTAGAAATTGACAGGATGAAGTCCAAAATGACGAGGCGAAGAAAAAAGTTATAAATACTACTAGCAAAATGGCTAACGTAGCAAGTGATGTGAATTTTTCATTTAATTAGGTGGAGATGCAAAACGATATCTTTCAAGATTCAATTCAACTTTATTCCTTTACAGAAAACAATGTGGTAAATCAACAAAACGCATAAAATGAGAAAAATCTTCAATGCTATTTGTAAGGGAATTCCAATTTGCATAGTATATATTACGCCGGTATTACTGTACATTTCCTCAGCCTGGCACAAAAGCTTCGACATGCTGTGGCGTCACGGTCTTACCAAGTTACTGCGACGCGACAGGACGCATAGTTTGCGACTGGTGGTCGATTTATTCAAATTTTTGTAACTGTACATTTTCTTGTTATTCTGCCTTCTATTGTATGCAACTTACTTTCCGGTGATATCTGCCACGAGACGTCGACGTGTAGCTGATGACGTTCTCTTCGAGCCATTGCTTTCGCAAACGCTTCCACACGGACGTCATGAGCTTCGGCGGGCTCATGGCCAGGTGCGACGTCTTCGAAGAGTTTTTTGCCACAATCAACTATAACGTGAAACGATCCCTATTTAAATGATGGTAACAGAACGGACATAAATTGAAGAAATCAAGTAAGTCATTAAAATATAGGAAAAATGCGCGATAGACCAGAAGTAAATGGAGTAAAAGAGGTTCATAGCTTAATTAAAATGAATGTTGTTTTCTAAAATGACTCAATTTGAATGCAGAGTTAATAGTTCTCATAAAAAAGGAATTAACTTAGATTCCGGAATTAGATCGGATGTAAGAAATTCACATACCGACATGAACTGAGCATGAGATTTCTTTGTTATGAGGATCCGAACAGTCAGACTGAAAGCTGGACGTATTCATTAGTTTCGGACTTGTCGGTAAAACTGTGCTGATTGAATCAACGGCTACCGAAGTACTGCCGTCATAAGGAAACTGTTCCGTGGTGTTTTCCACAAGCATGTCACTGAGATCGGCGTCATGAAGTGCAGCCGAAATCAGCAGTATCGTTGCAAATACGGTCATTTAAATTGCATTCCTCATTGATGCACTGTAAATTTTCCAATAAAAATTCAAATGTGAAAAATTCAAAGAAAGGCAACCATAATGTAGATACTGTAGCGGAAGACAATAAAGAACTGGAAGAACAAAACAAGAGAATTCCATGGGAAAACAACGAAGCCGTCACGAGTTTGAAACTATTGTATTGATAAGAAAGTACGCGATGATACTAAATCGACAAGAAAAGAAAACGTAGAGTGTTTTCGTCCAAAGTGCAAGAGGTCTGAAAAGTTTTACGTATCTTATCTCATGGGCGATATAATGCAGTGTTTCATCTTCATCCTACTTCTTTTTACTTACTTCTACTGTTCTATAATTGAAGTCATGTTTGTGTAATATACGCGCTAAGACCATACATATGCTGGTCATCACGAGCACGGTGATGGTTCGATCGCGTTCCGGGCCCACCAAGCCTCTCATCCCTTCGGGTTCGGGAGCATAATACCGGACTCTTCTGGAAAAACTTCACTCTCTGCAATCGAAGTAGGAACGCTCTAGCCCGGCTAATCCAGGACGCCTGGGAGAATCAACTTCACCAGCATTCTACGGCATTCAAGATGGAAGGAAAATCCCTCAAGCAGCAGCCGAAGTCACACGTAAAAGTTAGAAGACCTTTGTGGATGAAGGATGTGAGGAAACGAATCGAATGTATAAGTGCTGGTATTCGCAAAGTAGATGTGAAAGATGGGTCGTATAAAAAAGCTGTGTGTTTGTACATACATACACATGTGCAAATACAAATATACATATATATATATATATATATATATATATCGGCATAGAGATAATCATAAAAATGCCACTCGGGATGAAAAAAATAGGAATAAAATTATAAGACTACTATTTTTACTAGATCGACAGAACACCGAGATGATATACGATAAGCACAAGAAACTTTCAGTAGTGTGGTCGCAACAACATTGTTGGTAATGGGATGAACGATAATATTCTATACAAGGAATTAAGCTTAAGGTTCTGTTCAAGCTGTGTATTTCGTCCTGGGAATGAAACGATGTGTAATCAATGTTCCAGACGATTTAGCTAACTCGAAGTTGAAGAAATACTGCGCTAAATTTTCCACGTCTTTATTTTGGATGATGGCAACAGATCTAAAACCCCCACGACCGACTTTTTATTAACCTCGGCATTGATCAAGTAATTCTTCGTATTTTTGTTGAGCAAACGCGAGGTGTTACTATTCTTTATTCACGAATAAGCTGGCGTTTCGGCGGATTTCGCCTTCCTCAGAGCCAGGAAAGGTCAAGTTGATAGCAATCTACTCGGCCAGACGTCTCCATAACCAAACAAAGAAACTCCGAACCAAGATTTCAATCACATTGAACACAGCTTCGCACACTCACCGCTTTCTATGAGGTTTCCACTAAGTATGTCACGTAGAGACCAACCGCACAGAAATCACATGGAGGCATAATGTGCCCCTCCCATCAGAATAGCAGTCTTATATACTGCCCTATATCACGCATGATAATAAGGCATTCTTCCCTGCGGTTCATTTTCGGATTTCTGGAATTAATCCAGAATGACTTGAGAGTTTTTTGCGTCTGTGTTCTTGATTCGCGTGCTAGGATCGTGACACATACTTCAAAGTCCTCCCCGTTATGTCTCTGGGTCCTATGCGTGCCTAGCGGAGTATTTGGTCTGTTTGCCGGCTAGGTGTTCTTTTATGCGGACACAGAGGGGTCTGCCCGTTTCACCAATGTATTCGTCACCGCACACCTTACAGGAGATCAAATGGTGTTGTTCACACCTATTTCGCGCTTCATCTCTAGCTTTCTTGCGGAGTCTATCTTGAAGTTCATGTAAACTACATGCGACCCTACGCATGGTTATCTTAGAAATGGGTTCAGATGGTGAGAAACTCGGTCCCAATTCTAAGGTGAGGTGCAAGCACCGGTGATTTCGGGATTTCGGGAGTTATTGGTTAGTTAGAGCAGATGATGCAGAAACTTTAAATTCAATAAAATAAAAAATAAAGATTTAAGCCACATGGACAGATATTCCACAGAGGCTAGTTAATCCCTTGAAATCAGTTCGTCTAGCTGTACACAACTTTACCTCTCGTACTCACTTTAATCTATAGGAAGTTAGTCAAACGGCCAAAACAGGAGGGCGCAAATAAAGCCCATCTTTGCAAACAATTTAATAAACTGCAAAGTACAATAAACTTAGGGCCTCCATGAAGGGACCAAAATACAACCATTCTGATGCACAATGCAAGCTTGAGTGATGGCGTTACGGTATCACAGAAACGGATGTAAGAAAAACAGAAAAAAACTTGATAGATCGTAACGCACAGCAAGTAATTGTATAAGCCGAATATGCATTCACTCATCTTCTAAGGAGTGGTCATTGGAGTGAAGTGCAGGGACCATGTCTAAGGGACTGATTCGCGGTAAACGCTTTTACGCTTTGAATAGACAAAGAGATGAATAAGAAAGATTTTATACACTTATACCCCTTCCCCCACGCGCATTGTTATTTCGACAGTTACATCACATTCACCGATAGTGGGGTTTGTAGATTGCTAGTAAGAAGGGCGCAGTGAAAAAGAAAAGATCTAAGTTGAGAGTGTTGGTCTAGAACGTTTCACTCTATCAAGTTGTGTAACTACGTGGACACCACGACGCACTGACAGAAACGCAAACATTGTCGGCGTCTCTGGCTGTGTCAAATACTGCCGTTCATCTGATGGTCGTTGGGTATCGGTGGTGCTAAGAAAAAAAAACTCCCTTCATTGTCATCATCATCATTACCAGTAATCGATTAGTCAAGTAAAATAAGGAACACACAAAGAACAGTATAGATTAGTGGATTCTAAAACTCAAGGAAAAGAAAAAAGCAGACAGAAGACATCTGGCACGAACAGAAATTGGAACACTTGCGAATGATTCAGCTGTAGGGGTGGAGACAGTCAAACTCTATCACAAGCAGTCGAAATTTCACAACATTATCGTAAAATCTCCAGTTTATGAAAGAAGAACGTGAATTTCAAATCGCATTCAGTGGTTCACCAAGAGAGAATATCGCACAAGAAGTCAATTCTGAACACAAAGACAACGATAGAGACCTGTTAAATCAGCCTATAGAGCAACTTTGGACAATATTTAAGCAGCGACGGTAAGGGCAGATGTAGTGGAGTGATTAGAGAGGCACCCTAGAATACGCAAGGTGAACAACAAGAAGCGAAATATAACTGAATAGAAGAACAGCTGAAGTAATAGGAAAGGAATGTTTTGGAAACCAACTTTCATTTAACGCCAGTATGAGCAATCGATACCGTAATGTCGAGAAGCTAACACCACTGTGTTATTAAAAATTTTCCGTTGTGGCTAACATTTCGGCGCCATTTTACAACAACCTTGGGGAGGGGGGTGCGTGGTGGTTCACTAGGTTGCCTTCTTCGAGCGGTGATCCACTGAAGATTCGACACGATACTGTGACGAAGAAACCACATCGAGAAGACGAACAACTATAGACCATCGATTCGCACCATCGCCCTTAAGGAAGACGAAGACGTCGAAAAGTTAGCGGAATTAATGTTTGGTTACAACTTCAAGTTAGCTCATCAATGAAATAACGTATATTGAGCGTTCATACCGAGGTTAAATGACAACCAGTTTGAAAATTGAGACAGGCAAGACGAAGGACCCGGATAGTGTGGTGGTGAAGTGCGCTACTCCCCGGTAAGGACAATAGCGCGTTCGTTCCCCACAGCATACACCTGCCGTCCGGAGTTTTACAAATATCTCAGCATTATATACGAGTTTGAAAATTGCTAACCGGAGATACGTAGCTTTTACGCTTCACTGTCCTCAACCCGTTGCTCCCCTATATGAATTTGTTTTCTTTTTTTCCAGAAGTCTAGAATCTCATACTAATACCTTCTTCTCTTGAGAAACCACCTGCTAAGAAAAAAAAGATAGCACATAGCGAATGGAGAATGAAATTTTTTCTGTCTATCCGTCCATAGAGAATGAATATTTTTCTGCCTATGTCCATTCGCTATGTCCCAGTTAAGGTAATACCAACTGTTACAGGACGGATTGCACGCTGAGAAACAAATTATTACCAACGGACAATCGTAACCGACAACAACCATCTGGTATAAAAGAGCACTGCCGAGTTGCCTCATTCGAGCGGTGCTCCACTTACGAAGATTCCACTCGATACGACGATGAAGACACCAAATCGAGGAGAGAACAACTGTAGGTCATCAACTCGGCTCATCGGCTTTGAAGAACACGGAGACGTCCTAACGCTGCCGAATAAATGTTTGGTAACAACCTCGTGTTAGCATACTAATGAAATAAAGCACACATCCGGCTAGTATTCTTGAAACCATAGAGAAGTGTTGAGGTAATAAGAAAATTCAGCAGTATTTGCAAGGTTCGAAGCGCCTGTAGCTCAGTGGTTAGGGTACACTCTATCACATCAAAAATGGTTGTTGGTTCGATACCGCGCCGCAGTCTCGCCAAGCGCTTCATTCCTTTGGAGTCGGCAAATTGGCACCAAAGTTATTTTCAGGGATAAAAACACTGACTTGGCACATCGGCCGACCATCACAAGTCTTTCTATAAGGCAAATATGCATTCAGTCACTTCTACGCTACTTGGTGAAATCAAACACGTGCCGAGGCCCTCATGGATTGATCATCGCCGACCGCTTTATCCTTAACATGTATGACCAGCTGTTTTAGATTCTTTTTCAAAGCGTCGGTGTTAACATAGTGTTTATGAATGAGGTTTCGTGAAAAACAACGAGACTTTTCTGATTTTGGCTTGGTCACCTACACTACAAAAAATCGAGTATCATTGCTCGGCTACCCACTTATGTTTAAAACAATTGATTCTATCCCTCCAGGTAAGTCAGGTGCAATTCTGCAAACCTCGGGGAAATCGAGAACTTGGGTTCTCTGGAGCGCAAGAGCAAATCAATGATCACGT